GGCAGCCCCTGAGATATTGGAACACTGCTATCATGTCCCCCCTCGTCCTTCTCTTTGTTAAACTAGACATACCCAATTCCATCAACCTTTCCTTATATGTTTTAACCTCCAGTCCCCTAATCATCTTTGTTGCTCTTCTCTGTACTCTTTCTAGAGTCTCAACATCTTTTTTACATTGTGGTGACCAAAACTGGATGCAGTATTCCAAGTGTGGCCTTACTACACTACAGCCAAAGCAAAAAATAAAGGTGCATACAAGTTACTATCAAAACAAGTGGACATTGAGATAATCACAGCAAGCTGATTCTGTGGGAAACGTTATTTCTGACCGTGTAGAAATGCCTTTTTTTAAGAACTTGTCTGAAAAAAAGTGAAACTAAAGCTGCACTCTATGTAAGAGTTAACCATCTCAGAAACTTGCTCAGCTATAACATATTCACATCAAAGACCATTACCAGCAAATGCCTTGTTAGAAGTGTCCTAGAAATTCTTTTTGTTGTTGTTTTTATGATTGCGTATATTCCTTTGTATATATGGATTATGAAAACATACGAAACATAAACATGTCCTGTTTCATATCACGGTTAGATTTAATTACTAATACCTCCTGCAAGTTTTTGAAGGAGATAAAAAAGCTGTATCACACCTCTGTTTAAACACAAAAGCTGAATACAGTGTATATCACACTAAAGGCAGAAAATATGTATTGTATATATTGTAGATTGCTGTAAAATAAATGTAGGTCAAAAATCAAGACCATACTCTCTTAAAGTCATATGGAACTTAAAGATAAATGTTGAACACAATAATCAAAATAATTCTACATAGTTTGCTGACCTTGCATTCATTTGCTATACCAGGGGTAGGCAACCTTGGCTCTTTTATGACTCGTGGACTTCAACTCCCAGAATTCCTGAGCCAGCATGGCTCAGCTTGGAAACTCCCTTTTCCCTCAGTGTGGCTGGCTCAGGAATTCTGGGAGTTGAAGTCCACGAGTCATAAAAGAGCCAAGGTTGCCCACCTGTGCTATACTCAGCTGGCCTATATTCAACTGGAACTAAATTCAGCTGGAGCCCATCTGAGTATGTTTGTTTTGGTGGAGAATATGTTGTATATATTTTCTTTTCTTTTTTTATACACATTCTATAATACCTAATATGCCTTCCATTTTGCAATTTGTCTTTATTTTAATAAATGTATTTTAATTGTGTTGTAATCTCCCTAGGCTTTGACCAAGCAAAGCAAGTAGTAATGAAGGACATGGAGTTCCAAGAAGATCTAAATAAGTTGCCTCGCCACAGTAGGGATAGAGTCAAACAGGGTGTGTGGGAATTGGCAAGATATCTGAATGATCTGACCTTCTCAAAAGGTCAGAGCCAGATTTAACATTCTTCCCCCAGCACTCCTCCAGGGCAGGTATAAGAGAACACCAATAGTAGAACAGGTATGTATATGTGGTAAAGGAGAAGTCGAAGATATCTCACATGTTTTAGTGTACTGTGAGTTATACCGAGTTTATAGGTCAGCATATATTCTCCCCTTATTAGAGAGATTGCCAGGGAGGGCAGACAATTTTTATGTAGGCTTTCTCCTCCAGGACTCAAACCCTTCTATCACACATGCAGTGGCAAAATACTGTGTTGCTGCAATGTCCACAAGAAAACAAATTGGTTACAGATTTATAGCAGTCAACTTGTGCCAATTTTTTGCACATATCTCTAATAATTTTTGGAACATTATATTTACTCACACTTATCGGCTTTCCACTCACGTAAACTAGGGAGTGACCCTAACATTTTTAGAACATGTATTTTCTTAACAGGGGTGTTATTATTTACTATTAATGTCAGTAATCTTTTGTTTAATATATTGTAAGTGATGTCTATTGCTGGTCTATGACCGTAATAAAGTTATTATCTATCTACCTCACACCAACAATCAACAAGCAATTAACAGGGAATTTAGAGCTGAACCTACTAAATTTACTAAGAGAGAAAGAAATACTGCTGAGGGTTTAACTCCCAAGCAGAAAAGGGGCAGGGGTGAGATAAGTGCAGATCAGTCAGTTTATTTTGCAGATTTTTAATAATTGAGTAAACAGAGGATGATAGACCTTCAAAAAGATAGTTATTCTGTCCTAGAGGAAGCTGCCCCGAGGAGACAGCTCTTTGATACATCTATTACATATCAAATGGCTGTCATTCAGAAAAAGCTGCATGTGAATTTTGCTAACTTTTAAGCAATCTACAGTCTCTAGCATGCTTTTCAGAATGAAGCTCTTTCTAATCACCTTATATTGCCAGCATAAGACTTCTGATCAGAGAAAGCTACCCCACTTTTAGATCAGTTTACCCAAGAGGACATTATTACTTTAAAATCTAAGTGTAACATATTGAATCCAGATAACTTCAGGGATATTTCACTAGCAATCTTGGGCTGGTTAACTACTGCAATAAACTTAAGTAGTAAAGTTTGCTTGGCAACAATTTTGAGAAAGAAGAGCTCTAATCAGCAAACTGCATTACCTACAGCTGAAGATTCTGCTAAGGACTTACAAGCAGTAAAGTTGATTGGCTTATTTGGTGCATTGCCAAATTCAGAGCAAGCAGACACCACGCAGAGATTGGATAAATTAGGACAAACATTGGTAATAGCTCATTCCAGAAAGGCACCATTAATTAATTTGGTCCTACTATGTACTCAGGATTGCAGCAGTAAACTCAAGCAGCAAATTGCTAAAGCTGCCAGAGCTACAAATAGCCCAGAACACAGATCATCATTAATGTCTATCTAACCCAGTCTCTTTGTAACTTGACAAAATGCTACATCACTCAGAGAATCTAAAGTACACAGACACCAAGAAAAAGGCACATTTCTTGCCTTATCTGATTCCAGGCATCGTTTTAACACCAATATGCTCCTATAGTGGAACTACACAATTGTGTTCTGCCTCAACTACTTATTAAATCATTGTAGGGTTAGATGGGAATGCTGAAAACTAAATTGAAAAAAGGAAAATCTTATTCCAGCATATAACCATTCAGAAACAGAAGTCTGGCTTTGGGTTTCATGCCATTCTGGAAGTGTTTTTTTTAATAGATTTTTTGTAATTCCCACCTTATTTTTTTATAAATAACTCAATTTATAAATAACTTTATAAATAACTTTTATAAATAACTCAATATGCCTAATATGCCTTCTTCATCCTTCTATCTTCCCCACAATAATCACCTGTGACGTGAATTGGGCTGAGAGAGATGCTGGCTCAAGGTCACCCAACTGGCCTTCATGCCTAAGGCAATCAGAACTCCTAGTTTTCTAGCCTGGTGTCTTAACCATTAGACCAAACTGCCTCTCCTGATATGGATATCATTTCCTCTGAAATTCAAAGTATTCCAATTTCATCAACCACTATTCTTAACACCAAACCAAGTTGAAAAAGCTAGGATATGTAGCTTGGGTGAAACACCAAATATCAGTATATAGCTGCCTTCTCTCTGCTATAGAAAAATCTTTGGAATCCTTCCAGTAACTGAAAGCAATGTTTGGTTTGAATGCCATTAGGAATCTGCTACAACTTTTCATCTTCAAACCAACTGGTCTAAGCTGGGAATTAAAACTTTGACCTTGATTTTTTATCAGTACATAGATTAGCTAAACATTGATCAAATATGTGCCATCACATAGGTCAGTGGTGGTGAACCTATGGGACACGTGCCAGAGGCGGCACTCGGAGCCCTCTCTGTGGGCACACGTGCCGTTGCTCCAGCCTCTACTCCCCCACGACCCCCCTCACCAGAAGCCCCCCTGGAGGAGAGTCGCCCGAGTGTGGCCCACATGGAGCAGCACAGCCAAGGACATGGCAACCAGGCAGCATAGACAAAACTCTGCCCTCACGCCCCATCGCACACAGTTGATGCTGCAGGGCACAGGCAGAGGGCATGGCCACCATGGTGCTGTTGGGCTACCTGGGTGATCTGCGGCAGGTCCTGGAGGTGGTGAGTGGCCCTGCGGGAAGGCGGGATGGGGGCGGAGCAGGGTCGGGGCAGGGGGTGGAGCAGGGGTGGGGCAGTTTTTGGGCACTAGGTCTCTAAAAGGTTCGTCATCACTGACATAGGTTTTCTCTAAGATAAACTATCCCCAACCTGATTTTTTAAATCTCAAGTTGGGTCACTCATCACTACTGTAACTGAGTCCATCCACTTTCCTGTTGGTCAACCTCTCCTCCTTTTTCCTTCCACCTTTCCCAGCATTAGACCCTTCTCCAGAGAACTGGGTCTCCCTACTCTTGCTTATTGGCCATTGACTTCAGTGAGGAAGAACAAAAAGCTACAAATAAGGCTAGCCAGCAATATAATTTCTTCTATGTGAAAAAGGACATCATAAAAAGGCAGAAGTCCAACGAATTTATATGACAGATGCAAAAAAAAAAACCCAGATGTTGAATCAACTTGATTTCAAATATCAGTAACAATTATGACAACTATACATATAAAGACACTTTTTGGCACTTCACGTTAAAATGGGGCTGGCTAGTGTGTGGCTCGTTGGAATACAGAGCATTGGGTTAACCGAAAGCTGGGCACAGCATCTCCATGAGCATTTCCACACCGATGTTTTATAGCGCCTTCATACCACCACCTAACCACAGCTGGAATGGCATAAAACTTGGACGCAACGTTGCTCCTTTCGGGGGCTTCTCGTGCTTTGGGCGTTCCCCCAAAGCGGTGGAGGGTTCAGCTCAGAGGCTCCTCCGGTTACCGCTTACCCCACTGGCTTAGAAGGCACCAGCCCGCCGCTCCCTTCACTCTCGCTTTCTTACACACTCACAAACCCTGGCCTACTAAAGCAAGGCTTCCCCCCCCCCCCATTCCCTCCCCTCCGCGAGGTGCGCAAGCGGAGGAAGGGAGGAGCCGCGGGGAAGCTGGAGCCAAGGCTTCCAGCTGCATCTATTTTTCTCACCCCCCCCCCCTCCCCACGTCCGAGGGAGCCGCCGCAGCCGCTACCATCCACTTTTCTCGTTTGTCTTGGGGGGCAGAAAAAAAAGCAGCTGTTGCTTTGGAAGATGGCGAGCTGCCGCCCCCTCTACTGCTGGCTTCTCTTCTCCCACTTGGGGTCCCTTGGCTGTAAGTCTCCCGCGGCTTCTTCTCTCTCTTCTGGGGGGGGGGCTGTCACTTGATTTCCAACCCCCGAGCGTTCAGTTCTGGGCTGCGAGGGACGAGCGTTGGCCGGGGTGGGGGGAGAGGACTCTGGGCTTAGAGAGCTGCCAAATTCGACGCCGCCCGAAATCTCCCCCTTTCGGCGAGGAGCATCTTGTAGCGACGCGGAGGCTCTTGGTGCGGCCGCTTTGCCTTCGCGGCTTTCCAGGCTGGCTTTTCCTCACACTTCTGGAGGGCGGAGGAGCAAACGCAGCCCGCTCCCTCGGCTCTCCCCACTAGGTGACAGCGCTGCTTGCGAAGACGAAAAGGGGTAAATTGCTTCTGCTCGCTCGCCCTCCCTCCCTCCCTCCCAACCCCCGGCTCGCTTTGATTTGATTAGCAAGCTCGGCGAGGAGGCGAGCTTGGCCGTTCCTGCCGAGAGGCGTTCGCTTCTCCCGGCAACGACAGGAGGAGCTGCGCCGGCCGGGTTTGGGCTCCAGGCGGTGTACGGGAAGCCGGATGGAACCGAGGACACTTTCCGAGGCGACACAAAAAAAGTTCGTTGGCTTGGCTGGGTTGGAAAGCTGCTAAGGTCTCCTCCCCCCTCACCCCCCCGCAAATATAAACCACCGATTCGGTGGGGCGTTTGTGTCTGCCAAGGCTGGCCCAAGACCAACCGGGAACGAAGCTTTTCTCAACATGTTGATGAGGCTTCTTCATCCTCCACCGTGCTTTGAAGGTGGGAAGAGACCTTCACGAGGCAGGCTGCAGGATTTGTCTTGGCTACCAGAGGTGATTTGCCCATTCTGCCCCAAAAAGCTGACCATCTTAACCAATTAAGATGAGCTCTTAGGTAGGCTTGCTATGAAGTTACACAACCCTAGAATTTGGGAGCAGGATTTGTTACTCTGTGTTTTTTTTATTTAAAAAAAAACACATTTTTTGCTACACTTCTAAGAAATAAAAACCTTTCAAATAGGTTTCTGAATGAAAGTGAGACAGAGGAACCTTACCTATAGTTCTTACACATGATCTCAAATGATTGGGATGGACTTGTGAGGAAGTATTTGTAGAATTTGGCAGTAAAATGGTTTGGGTTGTCTAATCCAGACTGTTTCCTATTCTGATTTAACTTCTGGTGCATGTAGTAATGCTGCTTCCCAAATACAGGAGTTTACATCTTGGGATTCTGACAGAAACTACTTTATTTCCAAATAAAGTGTGTCTCCTGGATTTAATGGGATCGCTGGATTTAATGGGATCGCTGGATTTCTAATTAGCTTGCCTTAGCCTTGGAAGTACAAATGAAATATAGTCCATTACATGTTTATGCTCTGAATCCATGCATATTTATTGGAATTAAATGATTGTACGTACAATTATAATTTGTATTATTGGCTATCTGGTATCCATTTGCTTTTTGTGTGTCCCTGAGAGATGCTACAAGATCATGCAGCTAACATAGAGTAGCAACCTGTCAAAATATGACCATATGATTTGCTTTTTCATAAAATAAAGGGGATTGGCTTAATACACTATTATAATTTTTTTTTAATTTCCAAAATTTTTGGTTGCATACTTTCCAATGCTGTAATTGCATTAGCACCATCTCATTGTGGCAGCCAAAGATCCAGTGTGCATGTGTTTTAATTGCCCCCATTGCAAAGATACATGTTTATTCACATGAAAATTTTCAGATAGGCTTAAAGAGGTTTGCATTCTCAACAGGGCTGCAGTCTTGATTAGAAGCCTCTACTTAAAACCATGGTTTCCAGGCCTTTTCCCCCCACTTTCAAATGGTTCCTACCTTCAGAAAATTTTTCCAAATGTTTAGGACTTTTTTTTAATGCCTTCCCCTTTATTGCACAAGACATCACACTAAAAAGAACAACATTTAAGTATTAAGTAGAACAGAGTCAAAACTAACAAAATGAATTTCTACTGGGAAAAGTATTCAAGTCTGTGTTTTAGCAGGATATCACTAAACCTGTTGATCTGTCCATCAACCAAGTGATGATCAATCAGATATTTTTTAAAGTTTTTAACATTTCCTCTCAACTGCCCCCTTTTCCACTGTAGGTTATTGCTATTCAAGAATGTGTCTTAATAATGCCCGTCAGTACAAAATAGAGTGTTACCTGCCCTATTGAAGATGAGCAGAATTTCTTATACTTTGTTGCTGCTGCTCTGAATTAATATTTAGCTTATGCTTTGCCAATTTCTTAATTGTCTTCTTACAGACTACAGTACAACCAATCAAGAAATCTTCTGCCCAATATCCATGCATGTGATACCTCACTAAAATGCAGAATTTTATACTTTTCCCAGTAAAATTTCATTTTTGTTAGTTTTGGCTCTCTTCTACTTATTGTTATAAATGTTGTTCCTTTCAGTGTGAAGTCTTGTGCAAACTTGATAGGCTTTGTCTGTACCTCTTCATCTATGTTGTTTGTAAAGATGTTGAGACATAAGCACAAGATGGTCCTTTTCTACTTTATATGAAATATCTGCTAGTCATAGATACATGTAAACTTATCTTTGTTTAGTTTACATTTGGTAATTTTTTAAGTGTTGGCGTGGATATTATTGAAAATGCTGGTATAAAACCCTCTGTAAATTTCTGAGCAAGTCTGGTTAAATGGTTAAAGTGTCACAGAATTCTCCTAGAAACAAATTACATCAGATGTTTCAAAATATTGGTTCGTAGTATTTTGATGTTCATAAAAAATGAACATAGCTGCTGAAAACTAAAAAAAAAAAATCACAATAATGGAATGGAAATCACCACACCCAAGCAATGTGTTGATCATAGATAAGTGAAGCTGGAATGCACCGCTGTCAAAATAGTTTACAATGAAATATGCTGGTTCATAGTTCCATGCTAAACCATAGCATATATGATACGTTATAACTATGCTAAAATTATATATTACACTTTGTCTGCTTAACGTTGATGTGATTATGTGAGAGGTACCAACTAAGATGTTCAAAGGCCTGGAGACTAAAACATAGCAGTGTTCCAATATCTCAAGGGCTGCCACAAAGAAGAGGGTGTCAAGCTATTTTCCAAGGTGCCTGAAAGCAGGACAAGAAACAACAGATGGAAACTAAGCAAGTAGAGAAGCAACCTAGAACTAAGGAGAAACTTCCTGACAGAACAATTAACCAGTGGAACAACCTGCCTCCAGAAGCGGCGGTAAATAAAAAGAATGGCTACAGGACTTGGGTTTGGATAGTCTAATGAAAAGAAGAAATAGGGGAGACACGATAGCAGTATTCCAGTATCTGAGGGGCTGCCACAAGGCAGAGGGAACCAGACTGTTCACCAAAGCACCAGAAGGAAGGACGAGAAACAATGGTTGGAAATTGATCAAAGAGAGAAGCAACCTGGAATTAAGGAGAAACTTCCTGACAGTGAGGACAATCAACCAGCGGAACAGCTTACCCCCAGAAATCATGGGTGCTCCATCACTGGAGATTTTTAAGAAGAGACTAAACATTCATCTTTCTGAGACAGTATAGGTTCTCCTGCTTGAGCAGGGGGCTGGACTAGAAGACCTCCAAGGTCCCTTCCAGCTTCTATTCTATTCTATTCTATTCTATTCTATTCTATTCTATTCTATTCTATTCTATTCTTTATATTAGAAGGATTGAAATCATGGCGTACAAACATACAGAAAAAGAAAGGGGCAGAAAGCAGTTACTAACAAGTTTTCCACCAGTTAAACATGTTTACTTCTTGCAGTTACCTTAGTTACAAAATAGTCAAAAAAAATGTGCAGGTGTCTTGACTTTCACTATACAGTCATTTTGTAAAGTGGCAAGTCCATTTTTGAATAATGTCTATGTAGTAATTATTCTGTTTTAATAGAAGCCTAAATAAAAATTGAAAAGTTCTACTATATATTTACTGTTTCAATAGTATGTAGTTGCCTGAAAATTGTCTTCTCTGTGAAATGTTTTTTCTCCCTATCTAATGATTTGGTTCTTTTCTTTTAGAATGTCTTGTTGCTATTTGTTTATAATTTCATTATAAGAAGGAGGCAGGTACCATAGTTTTGTTATCCATCTATAAGCCCTCTGCAGGCTTTCAGCTGCTTAGGCTTTGTAAAGGCCTATAGCAGTGGTGGCGAACCTATGGCACAGGTGCCAGAGATGGCACTCAGAGCCCTCTCTGTGGGCACACGCGCCATTGCCCCAGTCCTACGCCTTCAGCTGGGTTTTATAAAACCTTTTCGCTTTAGGCCTCCATTGCCGTGTGTAAAAAAAAAAAGGTTCAGTCAATCAATTTCAATTTCTTGCGGGGAAAAAAAAGATCTTGCAAAGTTGGAATTGATTGATTGAACGCCCAGGCAATGGGCCACACCCAGGCAATGGGCCACACCAACCCAGCATCCGATGATGCATAAGTGGGTTTGGGCTTGCATTTTGGGCACTCGGTTTCTAAAAGATTCGCCATCACTGGGTTAGGATGTGCAAGAAGTTCTCTGTGGATTGGGGAAGGTGCACTGAGAGGTAGCACAAATTGGAGGAACACATGAGGAGATGGCATGAACCAGAAAAGGCATGCAGGATTGGTTCCTTCCTTCCTTCCTTCCTTCCTTCCTTCCTTCCTTCCTTCCTTCCTTCCTTCCTTCCTTCCTTCCTTCCCTGCCTCCCTGCCTCCTTCTTTTCCCAGTAGATGTGTTGGCTGTGCTGTGTGAGTGAAGGATTATAAGACTATAAAACTATCACACAATACTGAAAATGAAGCTCACCTGAGCACGGGAGCAGCCCAGTAGCACAACATGAGTCGGTAGCACTGAAGAAGCTACACCATTCTCAACCTTTATTCCCTCAGGATTCATAGCTCCTGGAGTTTGGACACATTCTATACGTTAGCCCAGGAGTGTCAAACTGCCAGTCCGTGGGCCGGTTTCATCATACCAGAGCTGCACCCACTCCATTGCCGGCAATGGCAAAAAAGCTCCGATACATTGCATGACGTC